CAGGCCTCAAGGCTCCGAAATCAGCGAGCCCGAGATCATCAACGTGAGGGAGCAAGTCTTTGAGTTTGATCAGAAGCTGCACAAGTGGAGATCTCAGACAGCCTCAGCAAAATCTGCAAACAACCAAAGCAGGAAACGTGGCTCAAGCGGGCCTGACCACGTGCAGATGCCGTGTCCCGCGCAGGCTGCTGGAGCTCTGCGACACGCAGAGAAATACCCAGTGCAAGTTGCAGACAGATTACGAGCTGGAGACATCCAAGAATGCGGAGCTCTCGCAGGCTTCGGACGACAGTGCCAGGGTTCTCTGCACAGCTGAATAGAATTGTGCCTGATCTGCTGGGAGCAGTCCAGCGACAAACATGTGGAAGGACAACCGCAAGCTGGCCGATCGGTTGAGGGATCTTGAAGCGCAGCTCTTACAGCTGCAAGACCAGTGCCTGGGCTGCACATGGTCAAAACAACAAGCATGACCAGCTCTACAGCTCCCAATAAGTTTGCCAGAAGCGTGTTCGGCCTGAGGTCCCCTGGGCCCAATAGCAACGCCAGCACCAGCACGGGCGGTGGCTCAGACTCCGGTGGCTCGAGCGCGCCTGGCCTGCATGAAGCAAACCGCTAGCTGTAACTTGACCTGAGTGCGGAGCTTAGGACAGCGCATCCTCCAGGTTCAGCGAGATGAAGGCCGGCTAAGCAAATGATAGCTAATGCTCATGAGACGCATGCCAAGCCTCCGCGTGTGCAGGCGGAGGGACTTCCAATGCACGACCTTTACAATGGCAGCTTACGCCGCTTCAGCCTGTCGGAGGCGCTTGCAGCATCTCGACCTTTTTGCCTTGCGCGTGTGAAAACTCGCGCTGCCCTGACTCAGACAGGATGATGAGGAATCCTGTGCACAGCAAGAGCCGATGCCTGAGCAAGGTTGCGGCCAGCAAAGCCTCTCACGCAGCTGGGCTTTTCACACTTCTGCCCTTAGAGTGTGCGTCTTTCAGGCTGAGCAGCATCGAAGCTGAATTCGCTGCAAATTGGGCGGAGGCCGGTCCGGCACGAAGTGAAGATCGAGCATCCTTGGACGCTATGTCACGAGTGCAGCAATGTGTCGGGTTCCCTTTGCAGAAGTAGAGTGTCGAAAGCACAAAAAAACATGATAACAGCCCCGGTGCAAAATTTAAGAGGAAGACTGTTGTCAAGGTTTTTCAGCGATCAGTGGCAAACGCGCAATACGTCCAGCACATTGGATCCCATGACTTTGGCTGCCCATATCAGCAAGCCCCTAGAATGTTAGCTGGCTAGATGGCAAGAGTCCCTGCAATCCCAGTTGTTCATATAGCAAGGATCTATAGAACAATTTTTTGTGTGGTAAGCGACCTTGAAATCCTAGCAGATTCTGTTTTTGAACGCACCACAGCGGAATTAAGGGTCATGCAACTCATTGGGGGCTTTAGTAATCCTCGAATCATTCCTCAACACCTGAGCATCTCATCTGCAGGAACAGCCAGATGATCCGCCGCAGGACCCGTTGTGAAGCTCTGCCTCATCAGTACAGACTGTTATTCCAGGACTCAAAGTGCGAGTCTTGGAGCTTTGATCAAGGTGCCCGCCGCAAGGCATGGAGGGTGTCCATGCATCCCCTTGACGCCCTCAGCACATGATCGTTACAGCTTTTGTAATTTCCACCAGGATGATGGCAATGCTTTGGGTCAATACTGGTTGCCCCTGCGCCTCGTCTGCACCTGGCTTCTGCTGGTACATGCTGCACCTTGGCAGACATGTAAATTTATGTGTCCAGGATATTTGGAAGAACTAGCAAATGCATAAAGCAGTGCTCCGAGGCCGCTGCTTTTGGAATACCTCACTGTACCTTGGATTGAAGCCAGCGAACATATCTGAAGAGAGCGGAGTTGTTCCTGCCTTCCAAGGTGCCGGAGATAAAGAGCTGGCGAGTGACCTCCTGGCAAGCCAAAGATCCCGAGGCTGATCTGCATGTTTCCCACTCCCTGTACAAGTCCAAATCCGATCAATTTCAAAGGGTTGACCGCGCCGTACCTCTTCATGTAAAGGCACTGGTTCAGCACATTGCGGACCTGGGCAATCTTCAAAGGCCTGGCCGCTATGCTTGTTATGATGTGAAGTTACTGTAAACTATTGAGGCACATCCCAAGTTTTGCGCTTTTCAGCTCCTTGGAGTTGCAGGCCTTCCGCCATTCTTGACTTCCAGAACACAGCGGATGCCTTTCATTCAGCGGTTTCCTTTGCTAAAGTCCGCGCTTCTGCTCTCTCTCAGATATCTTGGTTTTGTGGCACACCTGAGCAGTACAAGGTTTTCTACTGCTCCTCGACAGACACAGCAGCAAACCCTAATCATCTGCCCTTGGGCACCTGCTTGGCGACGGGTTGATCCGTACTTCTAACTCGAAGGGAGTGACTGCAGCTTTTGTGTAACCAGGTTCGAGTATGGACAGCTGATTGCACAAGTGTTGCACATGAGAACATGTTTCTCGCCAGCTAAAGCACACATGCCATTTGCTTCCTGGATCTGAGGTCAGCTGTGGACCATGGCGCAGTCCAGCAGCAGATTCCGCCATTTTCCTGAGCCCGCTGCAAAGCTACTGGTTGCTGCACTTCTGCGTGACATCCTTGAACACTGTCGCAGCCACGATATGGAAGTATGCAATGCAGGCCTATATGCTGCGCGCGATTTCATTGGCGTCTGTGCCGCCCACCTGCAGGAAGCAGCCGCAAGGGTCATCCTCGGCCTCATGGAGCAGAACCTGCACTCACCAGCCAGTACGTGGGGATGGGCCCAACAGATGAGTGCCATTTCATGTCTGAGCCGCGCCTGCAATGCTCTGAACACAGTTCAGCAGCAGCGATGCATGGCCCTGTTGGCCTCGATGACAGAGCACGAGGTGGACTGGCGGAGGCAGATGACTATCATCTCCGAAATCCAGGTCTTCTGGAAGGCCGTTGCTGATCCCTGGTCTACCTATGCAGCAACAGCTAAACAGCTGGAGCAGATGGAGCGGTCGGTCGCGGTGCATCCCTATGTCCGTAGTAAGCTCGACGAGCTGCTGTGACAAAAGAAAACCAGCTTGCTTGCCAGCACACGTAGGCCTCAAGACGTTCACCTGCATCCCCAGCTTAGTGACCTTCTCACCTTGTTTTGTCCACCTCAAACATGCCTCCCTAGAATGGTTAGGCCAGCTCATCTATGAAAGGGCTTGGGTCATCTCATAGGTTTCTGCCTGATCCAAACAGCAGTGGAACTTCGCTGCGGCGTGTATTTCCCGGTCAGAAACACCCCAAATAGTGGCTAATCAATCTCTAGAAAATAGTCCTGAAGTGGCTTAAATCCAGGTTCGGAATTTGTATCATTTGGCCAGCGCTATCTTTGCTGTCCGCAGTTTGTTCGTGTCAGTACCTGAGCAACAAATCCTGTAGGGTTCCCAAGTATGTAGAATGCCTTCTTGATTATTGTGAAGGGCTTTAGGCCATAATTTTACCTACCTTTCAGGTCCAGGTAGAGACGTGGGGTGTTGGGTTCAGGATTAAGGATGGGAGGTCTGGAATATGTCTTACTTTCAGCTTATGGAATGTTTAGGGTTTAGGGTTTCTATTTATCAAGGTTGTTTGTGAGTTCATCGGGGCGTGCCCAGATACGGGACCATCTTAAATGGTTAAATGGTCGTGACCTGTAATATGTTCCAGTTTCTGTACTGCTAGGCCATAATGAATTCCATCCGCAGCCTTGATTTTTTTCAAGTGAATTTTGATGTCTAGGATTCTTTGAATTAAGACCTTTTTTGGTAGGACTATCCCCATGCGGACCAGATCTCTCTCTCTCTCTCTCTCTCTAGGCTCAGTGTAGTAAGTCACCCCGGGCCCCAGGGAACCAATGTATGGCACTATAAGTTGGGCTGATGATGAGACATGTCAATGCCGCGAGTACAAGTCGCGCAAACATTCAAAAAAGGTTCAAGATCTTGGCGTTGAGGATTTGTTTAGAGGAAGCTTTATTGTGGGTAGTTAGTAGCCTTGCTTTGGAGACTTGGGTAGTCGTGTAGGTTTTGCGTGATGTTTTTGGCAGCAGTTTGCAAGCAGAAGCTCACATTTGGAGCCTGTCTACATAGTTTGCATCGGCAATGTCTGCTCTGGGCCAGGGCGCTCCTGGCCAACAGCGCACATTTTTGCCAGCTGATGCGTACGGTGTGGGTTGTGGGGTTGCGAACAAGCAGCTCGATCCTGCGCAAGAGTCACCGACGCCAGAAATCTGTCCACCACTCTCAAACACAGAGCCGGAGCCTTAACAAAGCGCGTTCTCTAGTTCAGCCTCGCATCTGCATCCCCTGCATGGCCACGAAGCCTGAGGCTCGGCTTCGCAGGCCAAGCCAGGGCCGGCTAAGGAATCCGCATGCTGATAACCTGGGGCTGCTTAGGGGGCTTAGGAGGTCCACTGTAATCATTTGTGTTCCTTGTCCCTCCTGCTGCGATCTTCCTTTTTACAAGATCAACATGAGCATCAAATATATAAAAGCAAGATACAAAAACTCATTGAAGGTTGACTGAGGGGTCCGCAAAGGTGCCGCGTGATTCTAGAAGCGTTCTTGATCAGCTTAACTTGCTGGCATGGAAGTTATGGGGCATCACCCTGATACAGCAAAACGAATGGACGCGGCACCAGGTCTGCTGCTGTAGGCTCGGCCCTGGTGTCTTGGGGTCTCTGTCAGGGACCGACTAGGGGATCACGGAAAGGTATAGACTTCTTGAGGAGAGCGCGCCACGTTCCAGCAGGCTCTTTGGGATGAAAGCTTGCAGTTGCTATCAGGTAGTCGGTATCCACTTCTGCTCAGCATCAGCTTGTGGCTCGAAACATCACGAGGACTGGTTCACTTCAGCGCGGCTCGCAAACAGCTTCCAATCCAAACCTCATCTATATCATCTATCCGAGGCACTACCGCGTTGACCGCACGTTACCTGCTGCGGTGCGAAGTATGTGTATGTTGTGACACAGCTCCGGGAATGGTTGGCAAAGCAGGAGAGTCCAAACGTGAAGCTCCTTCACCAAAAGCCCTCCAGCGTGCAGTTATGGCTGCTTAACGCAGCTGCACTGCTGTCAGCATCTCACTGCCAACTTCTTACTCTCAATTCCTAATTTTGTCAAGGTGCTGGCCACATAAGCATCTTGCCTGGGGTGCCGTCTGGGCTCCTAGTACTGGGCCCTGACTATGGCCGCGCCATCTTCTTCGACCGCGTCTCAAAGGAACTGCGCAATACCGACTGGGCCCACAGAATTTCCCGCAGCGTCGACCAGCGCTTAACTTGCAGACATCGCAATCATGGACAATCGTCACTGGGTCAGGACGGTGGCAGCCATCCAAGCCCTGGACGTAGTGCAGGGTGCCTACCACTGCCCCCGTTGCCTCAAGCTATACAGACAGGCACGGTCCACCCTCCCTCAATATAAGTTCACGCCGCCGCAGCAGAACATCGGAGCGCAGGGCGCTGCAAGGACCTCGTCGCTACCTCATGGACAGCGTCAAAGACTCCGCAGCCTTGCCTCACTTCCAGCGCGAGACATGGCTGCGTCGCAACATCGAGGACGTCCTGGGCTGAAACGCGCATGGAGGAAACCCACCACACAGGCTGGACCTCCTCCCTACAGCAAACCCCCGGATACCAGGAAGGAGCGCCTCCAAACCTGCACCATGGAAGAGCGTATGTGCAAGACCCACCGGTTTACGACCTGGCGACCTATGAGTATGACCCGAAGCAGACGGTCAGCGTGTCCTAGAACGACTTCATGCGCTTCATGGCGCCCACCGAAAGGCGCCGCGCTTCGTGGAGCTTCTCCAGGATGGCGAGTTCTGGAGGGACTTCAAACGGAAGCACGCCACGGTGGGAGTGACGAACCGACCTGGTTTCCGCCTCGGTGATAGTCAGGAAGGAAGTCACGTATGAGGAGGAATGTCGGGGCTGTTATGGCCGTCAGTATAAGTGAACAATTCCACATATGTAGTAGATGGGTCGCGGGACCCCTTGGAACATAGCCAGACAGTCCCTTAACAAGACTGGCTCCGCCGTTCGGCGCGCACTAATACGCTTTTGGTCCAGCTTCCGCCTTGGTGATAGCTGGCCTGACACGCCGTTGTGTCGATCCCTGCACCAGGATGTCTCCTGCTGGGATGATCTCTCCGCCCCGCAAGGTGAAAAGCGCAAGACCGGCGCCTCTAAAATGTGCGCGGGGGTGGTGGGAGCGGACATGAAGGGCAGACAGACCCTCATTCTAAACATTCCCCACTCACCGACAGCATCGGGCCCAGAGCAGAGTAGACCCACCCCCTCTCCTTGGTCATCGAATCCATCTCCTTTGACGTCCGCTCAATTCCTGAGTGTGCTCTGCGCGGCCAACGTCACGGAGATCGCACCAACTTTGGCCACGTTCAGTGCACGAAAAAAAGGATTTCGACAACCTCAAGGCGGAAGACCTCCTACGGATGGACCTCACTAGACGCGAGTTGGAGAAACTATATATCATTTAGTCTATATGTGTGTTCATCGGCTTGACACCGCCAAGGTCCTCGATCATCAAGAACAACAAGAGGAAGGATGCCCCCGCAGCCTCGAGCTCATCCCGTGGATCCATGGCCGGGGCGCGCGCAGCAGGAGACCCATCACGTCGAGAGGGCGCGCTCCGGAATGTTTGAAGGGGACAGTGCGCGGAGAAATCCAACAACATCCGTGGCTCTCGTTGGAGCCTGTGGCTGAATTTAGCGCACCAATGGGGACATCCTCCGCTCCCCTGCGCCAAGGCTCGCCGAGAGGGCGGATGTCGCTCGGCCGCGCAATATCGCGCAATGTTCTCACAGGCATAGCAGCGCCGTGTCGAGCGCACTAGCGCAGCGGTTTCCGATGACATCCGGCTGTGCGTCAAGTGCGTCACACGCAGCGTCGAATGAGGACGTGGGCCTCCCCAGCTGAAGGATCATCCTTGAGGACTGCTCGGACACCGACCCCGGATGCAAAACGGAGCCATTGGACGGACACCACGCCCTGCTGCTTGGCCATGGTTACAGTCGGTTGCTAGAGGCTAGTTTGTGGCATTGAGGCTGCGGCCGCCAAGCGGATGCACGCGTGGATTGAACAGGGGCGGAACAGCCTCGTGGCGCACCTCGCATTTTTTTTTTGCCAGAAGATGGACACTGTCGGTAGACGTGTGAGTCGATCACGCAAATGCTATTGTGGGCAGGACAGCTCCGCCAGGTCCTCAGTTTCATCCGGTACTCGGCAGGCGCCCAGGAACAGGAACAGTGGCTATTCCCGGGACGAGACGGAGGACCTCCTTCAGACCGCAGCGTGTCTTTGTGAAATCGAAGAGTTTCGCTGCGTCCGCTTAAACAGACCTGCGTTGGGCTCCTGATCTCGATTGGTTCTGCCGTCGCTGTTGACGCTGCTGTCGTGGCTTCTGCTGGTGCGGTTGCTGCTGCGGCGTTGCTGCGGGAGAGCGACCGTGCTGCGGCTGCGGCTGCGAAGCAACAGTTTCGCATGAAGATGAGTGCCTGGCTGCGACAGCAATGTCGTTGTTGCGTTGGTTTGTTGGGCATGGAACTGCTGGAGGATGTCCTTGTGTATCTTTCTGACAGGCTGCTGGATTTGGAAACGTTCGCGGCAGTTGGGCGCTGCGCTGCGCGTGGTGTGCATGTGTCGTCGTACGGTCGGTCCGTTAAAGATAAGTATGAGCATGACTATCTCACAGCCATGGCCGTTGTTCGTGAGATGGAGGAAGAGGATCGACAGTCTGAGCAAGACTACCGACAGTTTTTGGCTCATTTGGATGACATCGACTACAACACTGATTCCGACTGATCGTGGCAGTGAGGCGTGGCCGGACTTCACGTGCGATCCGTGATGGAAAGCCGTGCAGTTTTGCTGCAGAAAAATGAGCAGACATGCGTTCCAGATTCCAAGCTAAGCTGGAATCTAATAAACGGTCTCGAACCCAGAACGATCACTGTGCAGGACGGGACAGCAATGTGAAGAAGCTGGAGTTCAGGCGTGGAGTTGCGGTTCAAGCGCAACA